AGAGAGTGAGAGAGAGTTGGGAGAGGGATAGAGAGGGCGAGAGAGAGAGAGAGAGAGAGAGAGAGAGAGTGAGAGAGGGAGTAAGGGAAAGAGGTAGGGGGAATAAAGCAAATAGTATAGAAAGAGAGACAGACACACACAGGGAGCAAGTGAGAGAGCAATTTCAATTTAACTTTAATTTGTTCAGTGCGAGACAAAAAGAGGGAACAGCAATTCAGTTTCGACGCTAAGACAAAGGATCGTGGGGAAGGGGGGGGGGGGGTCACCCTTAGGATACTTATTGCCTAAACTAAAGAATAAACATTGACGGGTTATGTCGGTATTGATATGCCTTCGCGTCGTTTTGATGTTAACTCTAAACATAACTACAGTTTTATGTGCCTGTTTAACAAATTATATGCGAGTTTATCATATTCTGTGTGTCGTTTGGTCGTCATGTTTCCTCTCTTATTTAAAAATAAGGTCCTAAAATGAGTGGTGAACCATGTCACAATATTTCTGATGTTAGTGTCTCTAATATTCTCGTGTTTTTTCAAGATTGCCATGACTATTGTTTTCTTTTGGTATGTTGAGAATGTCGAAAGTATGGATGTTTTAAATTTTATAGATACATCTATGGCTTCAGGTCTTTGTACTATAAGATATTGACAGTATAATATATTGAGAAGGTTCGCAACATAAAGATAATATTATAGCAATGAGGATTTTCTTGTCTGTCTTTGTGACTAAAAGTAAGTGGAGAAATCACCTTGAAGACGGACGCCCCAGACTTTGAGACCATTGGAGCTTCATACAGTATGGACGTTTGTGCAAAAGACACAGCCAACCCCACAGTGCGATCAGCCTGTCAGACAATCACAGTTACGGTCACTGACGTCAATGATGTGGTGTGAGTAATATTTGTCTCTGCAAGTCCATATATGGGAGCCTTATTTTCCACTACTTTTAGAATAATGTGTTGGAGAATGTGGAGTGTTCAGACACTTTTTAATTTTTTAAAAAGCTTTAAAATCTTTTTTTTTAATTTGTGCTGTCAAAATCTGTTTCAGTCGTAGTCCACAGGGAGTTTCAAAACACTATATTATGGTGTGTGCTTTTTTTAAACTTTGATTTTTAAAAATCATGTTCAAACATGATTATTCATAGTGCTTTCTGAAGCCTATACCATGAACATTTCGTAGCCTCTTTTCTGTTCACATCTTACATGAGTATTGCCTTTCTTTTAAGAAAGTATTCTTGCAACTGGTACGTACATAATTCCCACCCACACGTACAAGTCTCTTGTCAGATCTTTGCATAGTCCTTTAAAGTCTATTGCCAAATCAACAGTGATGGGAAAGTGCCCTACTAAAACAATGAGTTCTCCTCCCCAGGCCAGAATTCAGCCCATCTGTGTACACGGACTCTATCAGAGAGGATGCCTCAATAGGAGACTCAGTGACTTCTGTTACTGCTGTGGACACTGACACGACAACAGCGTTTAAGACCATCACCTTCTCCATCTTGAGTGGAAATACTGGCAGTGTTTGGGAGTAAGAGCATTTTGTGGCCTCTCTCGATTTGCTGCGAACGATCTTGTCAATTTGTTAGTGTCTAAGCACTTAATTTGCTGCTAGCACTGTAAGCTTCGCGGGAAGCCGAGTATTATTTGTATGAGTATTTTAGGGTCTACTGGGGTTGTAAATAGTTGTAAAGCGCACAGAACAGGCTGCGCAGAGCTTTAATATGCGCTATTTTAAAGCAATTATTATTATCATTCAAAGGTGGAGACAGATGGAGTGTGCCACTGGAAGCCGTCCTTTATCTTTTCTCTGCTTTTTTGTGTAATTTTGACTTTTCTCATCTCTGCATTGATTATTGGTTTACGATTGAGGTATTTCTCTTTTAGGCAATACAAACATTTCAAAATTTGCCAGATGCATACTGCACAGATGCACAAAGTGATTATTTTTTAATAGAGTGACTGATATTTGACAGAAAGTTTGTCCTTTTGAGTCAAAGACACTTTTGATTGATCCAGCGTGTGCTGGCAGTTAGGTGTCTATTATAATTTTTTGGGGTTTTTAAAAAGTGAAAATAATCAACTGAAACCATTCAGAGACATTTTCTATTGGTCATTTCAGCTCATGGAATAGTGAGTGATTGCTGTACGAGCCAGGCAGGTTGCAACTTTGTATGTCCTTCGAGGAAATGTTATCGTGTAATGAACAGTCTGGGGAAAAGAGTTTTTTTGAAGTTGTGTGAGTTTTTATGGATAATAATAATATGCTATTAGAAATACTCACTTTATCATAACATATGTACAAAGAATTACCTTTCCTTTTCAGTATTAACAATGCAGGAAGTGTGTTTCTGGCTGGTGCTCTGGACTATGAAACTGTGACCTCGTACGCTCTCGTGGTACAAGCGTCAGACGACACCAACTCAGCCACTGTCACGTACAACATTGTGGTCACCTCTGTCAACGACTTTGACCCTGCCTTTGGGAGTACTACTTTAACCATAAATATTGATGAGAACACTGCTATTGGAACTACTGTGACTGTTTCAGTATGTGTTTCGTTTGATCTGTATCTCCCATTGTTCTGTTATTTAATTTCCGAAATAATTCACTTCAGAGATGCAGATTGTTTTGATAAATCTGGAAATCCAGATATATTCCTTTACTAATGCATTTTAAAAATATTTATATTTTAATCTCTTTGTGCATGTCACATTGCATTTAATATAAAAATAGTGTTGATAAAGCTATGTTGAACAATGATATGATCTGTAGGTTGTTAGTGAGCCTACACTTTTCCAGGGGGTCTAAACAGTTCAGGGTTTTATTTTTGTTACCACTTGACACCCATACTCACTTGCTCTATGTTTCATTTTGTTCTCTTATTCTCCCTTTCTGTGCTACTGCCTTCCCAGAGATAGCTTTGGTGAGGTATTTTTGCCTTATATACATGATAACCACCCTCTGTGTATTGTCAATTGTTGATTTAGATTCGGTGGAGTATTTATTGTACCTGCCTTAAGAATCGTGTCTTTTGTTCCTGCCCAGGCTCTCCCAGCCACCGATGATGATGATGGTAGCGACGGTGTCTTCACCTACAGCATTGACTCTGGTAAGTACTCAATATTTTTACTGCTTTCCAATTCTTCTTCCTCATTCTTCTTCCTCGTTCTCGATGAAAGCAGCTACACAGTCAGTCCGATGTCGTGTACAAACTGTGTAGTTCGCTTCAACTCTGAAAGACTGCCATAGAGCTTTCTCTTAAGGGGAGCCACATTTTGCCACGTCTGTGCGCGAAGGGTGGCATAGCGCGAGCAGTGCTGAAGGATATGGTTTGCATCCTCTTGGTCGTGTCCACATTCACAGATCACTGTCTCTCACACTTTTAATTTGGTGTACATATGGTGTTTGAGTCTGTTGTGGCCACAACGGAGTCTAAAGATTGTGACCTAGTCTGCTCTATTTAGTATGTGGTAGGGGTCATGTCTGTTGTGCTTAGGGTTGGACCTTTTCCATCTGTTTCTTAAAGCAGTTTTTATCAGTGTTTTTGACTCTGAGAGATCCATACCATCTTCAATCTGGGTCATTTTGGCTCCTTCTTTGGCTAAGTAGTCTGCTTTTTCATTTCCATGAATGCCACAGTGACCTGGTATCCACTGCAGAGTTGGGTTGGCTTGGGAGTTTAGATCACATAGGAGTGAAAGGAGCTGTCGTCCTTGAGCTGTTTGTGGCTTTTGAAGAGCTTGTAGGACAGATTTGGCATCTGTGATGATGACGGTGTTGGCTTACTGTCCAGTGATTGGTTGATTTGTTTTGGGCTGCTATTTCTAAAATGTCTTTAATTCTGAAAGTATAGATTGTTCTAGAGCAGTGTTTGCCACCATTTTGGTTATAAAGTCCTTTTACAAGCTATTTGGTCACTTGTTGAAGTCTGGCTAAGTAGATGGCCGCTGCATCAGATGATGTTGAATGGGACGTTCATTGATTGCACATTGTACTTTTGTTTTACTGAAAAATCAGATTGCAGTTTGCTATTCTTTTAGATTCTAATTAGTGTTCGTGACTTGGAACTCACTACTTTTACCCTCCTTCTGGTGCATTCTTTAATAAATGTTAGTAGTCGGATGGTGCCACTTTTTCTAACTTTTTTAGATCCCTCTTTTACTTCTATTTGTACTTAATGATCGCTTATGTGTAAAATTTTCTCTCTAGTCAAAGCAGTAAAACTAGTTTGACTTCCATGAATGTGCTTGATTTGTTGCAGTGTTTTGTGCGTGTGTTTTCAGGCCCTTTAGCCATAGATCCAGACACAGGGGCAGTCACTGTGGTACAAGCGCTGGACAGAGAGACGACCACCTCCTACACTCTCAACATCCGCGCTACTGACCAGGGTGCACCTGCCAGGACTGGCACTCTGGTGTTGACCGGTCAGTTGGTTTTGTGATGTTTTTGTTTTTTGTTTGTTTCTGTTTTGAATTGGTGAGAAAACGAGCATTTACACAATGTATCATAAAACTGTACATATAAATATATTAAACACATAAGATGCTTTCACTGATCATGCAGGCTTATCAATGCAGTGCATAATCTTCCAAATGTTAAGAAGATCTGCAATGTAGATCTTTCAGGCTTATTAATGCTTTGCGTTTTATTCCAAATATTTGGAGGATGTTCAGCATTTGCTATTCCGAAATTATTGCTATTGTGTCAGTGTGTGTATGTGTGTGTGTGTGTGTGCGTGTGTGTGTATGTGTGTGTATGTGTGTTTGTATGTGTGTCTGTGTGTGTGTTCG